TTTTATGGCCAAAGACGCGCTTCATTGTTCGCTAGAAGCGATGTATACTTTCTTAAGTGGTTATTAAATTACATGACATTTAATATTGGATTTTTGTTTGTAAAAATTAGAATTTGTATTATTTGTGCTTAAATATCAAGTGGCTTGATGAAGGCCATAATCATTTCGAAGCATCTTGTAAATGCCACCATGTCGTTGCTTGCCAAATGGTTGAGAGGGCGAATCCTTAATATAATTATTAGAACATAGCCGAATGAATTTTTGAGAACATACAATGCACCTTGGATTCGGACGGTAGTGCTGTCACTTCTGAGCGCCAAATGCAAACGAACAAACTTATCAAGGTGTCATTTGGTCATTGCGTAATCGACAAATCATTAACGTACCTTCAGGGTTCTGTGCGTCCTTAAGAAGAATGGGTTCCTGTATCAAAGACCGGTTTTTAAGCAGCAGTGAGTAGATTCCCCCATGTCGAGCCTTGATCCTTATTTCAGGTAAGGTTGGCAGTGATGATCTTGTCAGTCTTAAAGTAGTCTCGCCCGATCCACAATCTCTGTGATTTCGTGGGTTTGGTGTAGCGGCTCTAGGTTTTAGTATACTTGAGGAGGCTCGGCGGTTCGATCCTTGGTCACTGTTACATTGCCTGAGATGACAAAAGCTTTCTTCATTTGTAATTGCAACTTCGATAGGTGGTGCACTTAGCTCAAGATTCCAGGGAAGAGCTAATTTTGATCGACTTCGCGATGGCGTGTCGGGAAGCGACATGGGAGATAATAAACCGAAGTCGTCATCTGTCAAAAATTGGCTAGAAGATGTTGAAAAGAATGATTCAGACTCCGTCGGTGATACGGTGCTGAGCGGTGTGGTCCTTTGAGCGTTAGAAAGCATTCCAAATTTTCGATGCGGAGAGTTTTCTGGACGATGGGAAGATGAACTTCCGTTCTGCTTATCTTTCTTGTTATTCCACTCTTTAGCCTCGCCGTGTGGACTTTGCATAGCCTGTTGTAACACCATTTATGAGACTACTGCGATTTATCGATAGAGTCCCACGTAACTCACCAGAACCTCTAGAGAAACAAAGTCGATGCTGCCCTCGAGCTTCTCTTCTTCCTGTAATAGACTAAATTTTTGATTACTCAAAGGAGTAAGAGCGACAGCAGAACCCATTTCCAAGTCTAAAAGCTCCTCTAGCGATGTTGGTGTACATGCATCTGATGTAGTGAAAGGCAGATCCACGTCGTTGTTCGAGTCGGGGAACTTCCGTTGCTCCGGAGATTCATGTAGTTCATGTGTTTGGTTGCTGGACTTGAGTATGTGTGCATCCTTTTGACTCTGATCGCAATTCGTCATCGGCAAGCGTCTGGGATGAACACCCTTGGTCATGGCGGTGCGATTCTATTGCATTGGATCTCGCGTCGTTTCGAACTCCTTCGTAATTTAATATAATTTTATCAGTCGTGAATTTTAAATAATAAACGGTAACAAAGTCGCAATGGGACTACTTACTATTCTGAAGAAGGTCAAGGAAAAAGAGAAGGAAATTCGTGTCCTCATGCTGTGCGTTCATGAGCCTTTCGCACTTGATTCTGCAAGCGAGAAGATGGAAACCTATAATGAAGGAATATTGACGTTGACTGTGGCTTAGGGGACTAGATAATGCTGGCAAAACGACTATCTTAAAGAAGTTTATGGGCCAAAACATCAATGAGATTTCTCCGACACTGGGTTTTGATATACAGACACTCGAGTACAAAAAGCAAGTGCAATATCCTGCTGGATCAGAGAATATCGGATATTGACTAGGGTGCATGTGGCTGCTGTAATCTGTAGCTTTAAGCTGAATGTTTGGGACGTGGGAGGACAGCAAACAATACGATCGTACTGGAGGAACTACTTTGAACAGGTGATTTAGTCATCAAAGTTGTGAAAGTGTGCTTCATCTCAATCCGTGTGTGTAATAGACGGATGCCCTAGTGTGGGTGGTGGATAGTGCTGACAGACGAAGACTTGAAGACTGCAAGCGTGAGCTAACAAACTTGCTTACTCAAGAGGTATGGAGAATAAGAGCCCCTCAGCTGCTTCTAATTACACATTTTTTTCACTCAGAGACTTGCAGGAGCTACTCTGCTGATTTTTGCCAACAAGCAGGATCTACCAAGTGCCCTTAGTTCAGCAGAAATTGCAGACGCGTTGGGGCTACGGTCAGCTCAATTTTCCACTCGACATTGGAGTATTCTTTCCTGTAGTGCCATTACTGGTGATGGCCTTGTTGACGGTATTGACTGGCTTGTAAATGATGTAGCAAGCCGCATCTTTCTCTTGGAATGATGACTTTAAGTGGATCCAGTGGAGGTGTGCTCTTGCTAAAACTTAGACTAGCTTTCTTAATTTAGATAGATTACAGCTACAAAATGCATTTATTTTGTCAATGTAAGTTTTAACACAGAAAGAAGAGATTTCATCATCAATGGACGACGTCCACATAGGAAAACATATCTCACAAAACACTATGTACAAACGTACAAAAATGATGCTATATATCTGTTCTAAACACGGGTTTTACGTTTTACCTTTTCATAATATCATGATACTTATCTGTTGGAAACAATTTACGTCTTCACCCATTTGCATAATTACATAGCTACAAGCAGAATACATTCACTTGGAAACTTGCCTTCAGACCACCAGGTCCTTCCTTCCTATCTGTCATTCACAGCACTTCGCGCAGAAGTAGCGTATCGTTACTTTAGCAGGTTATGAGTTCATCACAACAGAATGATAATGTCCTTCACAATGTGACAGACAAGAAGGAAGAGCTCACCCCAGCAGCAGTATTGCTTGAAATGCGGGAGATGATGCTACAGATGAAGGAAGAAGTACAAGATGTGAGGATAGAAGTAGCAACAATTAGGTCTAATAACGGACAACGTCATCAGCAGCCTTCCGTACTTAGTAGTGCTTCGGCAGAAGCATTAAGGAGTGTCATGCTTGAACGCATCAAGAGTCAATCTCAACCTCACATGCCAGTATCATGTGGTTCAGCTCTGGGAGCACGAGATCACCGTACGTACTACGATGAAATCGCTCGCGATGACGCGAGACAGAGAGAACAGCAGTTCCAAGCGTATAGAGAGCAACAAGAGACACAGGGAATGCATGCATTCCCACCACAGCATCAACAGCAACAATTTGGCCCAAGGATTCCTACATTGAAGCAAAGGATGCTCTTGATACCCCCTCCTGAGGGAAAAGTATTCCTGGCTAAAACTAAGGATCAAGCAGCAAAGCAGTTTGAGCATTTCTTAGTGTATTTCGAGAAGCGATTTAATTGCAAGGTTAGCG